AATAAAAATAAAAATAAAAATATTTTCATATTATAAGTTAGAAAAAATTAAAATATAATTACCGACGGAATTTCCGTCGGAAATCCGTCGGAAAATCTAAATCCTGTTTTAGATTACTTCTAATTAACCCGGACATTACTAATATATGAAAAAAATTTCCGACGGATTTCCGACGGACATATCCGTCGGAAAATACAAATTCGTCGGAAATTCCGTCGGAAAAGGCATTTAGCGGCGGGGGTTTTCCCAACGGCTAAATCCGTCGGAAATCCGTCGGAAAGTTGTTTTTCCGACGGATTTTGCCGTCGGAAAAACCCCATTTTTTAGTAGTGTATATATACATATATGTCGAATAATTTAAAAGTTTTCTATATTCTAAACTATACTCAAATTATTACATCCAAATCACTTCATTTTAAAAAGTTAGATCATTATTCAAGTAATAGTTTTTATAACGATAGTTAATTATGATAGAGCAAATATTATGTATTCTTAAATTTTCTTTGAATTGACACTTGACATAATCTATTAATTTTTGAATTTTAGAGGTAGATCATGTGTGTTTAAAATATGCTAAACTTCAATTAAGAGGATAATTATTTAGATCTTCCGATCATATGTGTTATCAACGGGATACGATTAATTATTCAAACGTTACGTACGCTTCCTGATGATTTCGGGATACAATGGGAGGAGTACATTGCAAGTTTCTAATACAACGAAATGTCTTCTACTTATCTTAGATAGAGCTGAAAATATATATTATGGTATATATTGATAGAACATAAAAGAAGTATATACACATATCGGGTTGGGTTCACGTGAGACGAGCCTGTTTTTACGAGACCATATTTTTACACTTGAAACTTCACAGCAAAAACACTGTGAAGGTTAAAAAAAAGTCGAACCTTCACAGCAAAAACACTGTAAATCACAGCATTTTGCTGTGAAGTTTCAAGTGTAAAAAGGTGGTCTGGTCTCAATGATGCCAAGTCTACACATATCATCAAACAATAACGAAGGGGAGATTGCTACTAATTAATGATATATGTTTATTTCATTCCATTTTATTATATTTTTCCTTTTGTTTCTATTCCAAACTACGTCTTACAACTCCATCATACCTCGCTCGTAGTATTCTTATTCCTTAATAACTATTCTTCTATATATATAAGTTACATTTATATATATATATATATATATATATATATATATAAAAGATATAAGAAAGGGTAAATATAGTATGATGTGCATGCCATCAACAGCGTTAAAGAGTAGTTGCATGCTGTGGACATGCCTTTGTCTTATCTCCGTCGTCCACCGAAGCCACTTTCTCGCTGGCAATTGAAATAGACGGCAGCCACCGGAGAACCAAGGTTGTAGGCTTCCGCAAAGTCTTTCGTGTTGAAGTTCTGGCGCCATCCAGGGGCGTAGACGGTTTGCCGCCCCAACTGTCGGAACAACACGAAAACCATACGATGAATTCCCATTGATGGCCTTGGACTCTCGTAGCACACAACTTCTTGACCTACACTCAGTTTATAAGAAATCGAATTAGATGCTAACTAGCTATATATGAAAATACATGAATTAAGTTGCTTAATTATATGTAATCAGTCGGTAATATTATGGGTAAGAAATTTCACGCAAAACCCTTGTTTCCTACATATAAACTATGCAAAATTTAGGGTTTTCGGTCTAGAAATGATTAGAACCCAACTGAAATAGAGCAGGAAACTTTATATGAGGACATTATGAACATGCTCTCGTGACACTTTTGATGAGAATAAGAGTTCATATATCTGCTTTAGCTTAAAAAAGACAGAGTTGACGTGACTCAAATTAAGACAGCATATTGGTTAAGTGGGATGTATATGTTATAATTAAGTGAATTGATTTGTTTTTGGGTTGGATATATCTTTTCCTTTTGGTTGGGTAGAAAAGATTCTTGGATGACTTATAGAAGAGTGAGTGCTTTATGCCATTCCTATCCTGTCGAGTGTATATATTGCCTATAGTTTTCACTTTACATGGACAAGCCTCAAAATTCGACTTTCATTCCGTATGAAAGCGTTTGACAATGAGTCATAATTATTGATATCAGCAAAGGAAATCTTGTATTTGGAATTCCGAAAGCAAGATTTCTAAGAAATTAAAACACGAGTCTACGTTTAGTGAAAGTTTGCGAAATTATGTCCCTCTTTTTGCTCACTTTTTCCGGGTTTTTAAGAAAAAAGGAATCAAACCCAAGTATGTAGCAATCAACAGAAAAACTTGGAATGAGGGCATTTTTATGCATCTTGTGGTCCATTTTGGTCGGGTTAGACGCAAAGATAAAGGATCCGTATAAAGGCTAGCGGAACAACTGAATCGCGAACAATTTGAACAGTAGTTGGATGTGAAATGATAAAGAAAAAAAACTCACCGAAACGTGCCCCTGTGGTCGCTGGAATATCAGTCACCAACCTATGTGGTTTACAGGGAATAAAGTGTTAGAAAAAGCAAAAGAGTACACCAATCAGGAATAACATAAAATATGAGATAGAAAAGGGGAATGTTTTTTTGACAAATATTTGTATACATATATATGTATATATATATATATATTGGTTTCGAATTTTCGAGATTCAAGCCAATTGTTTTGTGAAGCAACAAGTGGTATGAAAATAAAGATGGAAAGCAAAAGGTATAATAGTAGACAGATAGATGATGGCTGACGATGGATCAGTTGCAGAATGAAGAGAGAACCTTGTATATGGAAGCTTGCTTTTTTGTTTATGTGGTAGCCAATTGAAAGCCATGAAAGTAACTTATATGTCCCTATACTTTTTATTCCTTTCAATTTTGCCACTCTAGTTATAGTTTCTTTCACTTTTAGTTACTCGAGTTGAAGAAAACCGACTAGGAAAAGGTAATGTATCGTATTACATTTTAAACTAGAAACCCTTTCGTGATCGGAAGGTCGTTACCAGGTCGATCCTTTTAGGTTTTTAGAAAAAAGAGAGGATTAGAGAAGAGCGTATGCGTACCAATGCAAGTATTCCCTAAGGTTAGGGTCACTAGGACTAGGAGCATCGGGATCCACCATGACCTAAAACAGTAATAATGTAACAAAAGAAGTATTTTAATTATCGTGAATTTAATTCTAGGAGAAACGATGCCATGGAAATGAAAAAGAAGGATGAACGAACGATGAAATGGGAACCAAACGTACTAAAGTGTGAAAGGCACGGAGGTCGTCACCTCCAATATCAACCCTAGGTTGGCTAACAACCTGAGAGGGTCGTAGCTCGCATCCATTGTTGACTTCCCTATCGTTGTACGATACACTAAGGTCTATAGACCTGGTAAAGTTATCGAGAACATCTCCTATTACTCGTCCAACGACCAACGGGTCCCTCTCCCTAGGCATCATATAAAAACAGGAATTGTGGTCAATTTCTTGATGGGGTTTCTTGATGTATTGGTTTGCATGGAAGTAGTGTTGGTATTTATAGGGATTTTTGGAGTTAGAAAACCTAGGATGTGGCACCACAACCTGCCTCACACACAAACATATTCTCTTGGAGATGTGATGAATTTAACATATCACGATTCTCACATGATAGAAGACCAATGGCGAAGGCTGAGTGATAGACGGGTCAAATCCAGAGCTCTTTCACTCCATATATGATGACCAAGGAATCTTGGACTATGCATGTCTTTCTTGTCATCGATCACAACAAGAATTCAATTCTAAGCTTATATACCCATCACGAGCAGTTAGTTCTAATTTGAAGCTTCTTCCATAGGTAAAAGTAATGTGGATAGAAAGATGCACCGACCGATATCCTCACTTGTTATCCGATTGAATTTATTAACCTTATCACACATATATAAATCATCTTAATTTCGACCTTTTTTTTTTATAACGACACGGATGATAGCAAACGCGATACAAAAAAGATTAAGAGAAAAGAAAGATAAATGTTTTAGATTTTGCAAAGTTTAATTTATCTTCTCGTGGTATCCGTAAGATTCTTTATTTGATTGATTTACCATTTTTGTTGGTATATTACCGATGTGACAAACGATGATATAACAACCAATAAACGATTTATCCACGTTGTTACATGTGAATAACTTTTTCGACGCCATTTTCTTAAACCGTACTATTTTTTTTATATATAATTAAGTTATGGAATTAATGTGTCCAAATTAAATTTACTTCAGATGTCACTAAGTTTAATGATAAAATTTGGTTAGAATGTGATAACATTTTTCAAGCTACAAGATTGTAAACTATCATTATTGAGAACAAACTTTAAAATACAACTAGTTTTTATGACGTTACAAAAAATAAAACGATATAACATTCTCCGTATTGTTACTAATTGTAATTATTTTAGCAGATATGCTTACACTATTGTTGGGATTTATATCCAAGTCTACATACAATCCTCCAAATTAGGTCAAAATGTACACAAACCATTGAAAAACGATATAATCGAAGTCTTACAATGATCTCACACATTAAATGATCCCTAAAATCCCATTTATCTCGTCAATCACTCAATGCGACCTACATATATGCTACCTTAGTCCGCACTATAATGGTAGCCAAAATACTCCTATGCAACCTAGCCAAGTGACTTAACGTCGCACAACCTAGGTCGCCAAACTGTAACGTAATTTCTTTTCTTGTACGGGACTTCCACAAAGCGAACTTGGGTTGCACAACCGAAGTCACACATCTAAAACGGCTACCAATTCCGACAAGAAAACAACAATTTTTTTCTATATTTTTTCATATGCAGAGAAATCATATTTCAATATCATACGAATAACAGCTATAACTACACACCTTATTATAGCTTAGAGAACATTTAAAGGGATGTTTACTTAAATACTTACCCGGTAAAATTCACCACTATCGCTTATTTACTGGATAAGATTTTATTCACTAAAACGCATCGTATGCAACAATTTATCCCGGTAAGCGCTAACAATGGTAAGAGTCATCACCCTCACTTACCGGGTAAGACTCTTGATTATTGTCTTCGCTCTTACCGGTTAAGATTCTTAGTCCTTGTCATATTCATTTGGTAAAGTAATATGACTTGATAAGTGCTTATTCGATAAGCGTTTAGTAAATGGCACCTTAGTCTATTATGCTTCCATTTCCAACAAAAGTAGGCATATTATAAAATGTTTGTCATACAGTGAAACACAATAAGAAAGAATACGAAAAAGGAAAGAAAACAAATGAGATGTTAAAATAACATGTATGAAAACATAACATAATTGATTCAGACATACCTACATGGACTCATAAATAGATCAATGTAGGCATTGAAAGGAGAAAGAAAGCAAATAGTAAGGAACGTTAAGATATGTGATATTTCACATGCTCTCTTGATAATCCCAAAAACCATATACAATCAGATTAATCCTTCAAGAACAATTGAGATGAGTAGAGAGATTTTCACCAAAGTTGAATATTGTATTTCTTGAGAGAATTTACAAAGTGATTAACAACAACTAATCTAAACTAATTACAATTAACCAGCTAAAACCTATTTATACTAGGAAATTAACAAAGGCTAACTATTACAAAAACAATTACAATGGGAGAACTTGAGTACAACAATTAAGCACATTCTTGAACCCAACATCTCTATATCGAGGTGTCTTTCTGGCCATGTCAAACAAGAGCACGATGACACTAGCAGAACATGAGAAATATAACATACCAAGAACCACACAAAATCCTTCCTTTGAAAGAGTCGAAGCTGCTGCTGCACCGAAGCCAGATGTTGCCTTTAATTAGTGACCCATACACATCAAACATAAGTCTATACTGAGATACCCTCTAACAACTGAAATTTTTATATAAATGTTGTAGCAAAACAATTCAAAGTAGCACTTGTTTCATCTCCGACCAGTTTCAAGTGACCACCAAAGATGTACATATTTTTCTAACTTCTTAAGCATCCATTGATGAACTTTTACATCTAAATGGAAACTTTTCCGAAGTGCCACTCTAGCGAGAATGCTTTAAGATACATGTAGAGATCTTTTATGTTAAAAATCATACAAAAATGTTTGGACAACAAACTATTCAGTAATCATGGGGAGTATAATTGGTTTCTTAAAAATCAGAATGCATGTTGTAACATCTGATAACTATATACTATATATAAACATACACAAATAGAGGACGTAGCAGATACAGTAAGACACAGTTCGTGCCTGAAAATCATCGACATTTTTGGTTATGTGATTGTACACTATCAGGAGGCAACCTGTAGCAAAAACCAACATCGTTCAATAAGTAAATGTAGATACATAATTCTTGGTATTCATACCTCACAAATTCAGTAAAATGTGAAAACATTGAAAAAACTTAAAAATCTATCTGCAGAACATGATGACAATGGTACAAGTCATTTTAATATATGTTAAGCACGTTTTAATATATGAATTTAGTTAAGCAAATTTTAACAGATAAAAAAAAAAGGTTATAATTATGGTCAGTATATCTTAATCAAAGTCATTTTTCTGCTTGTGATATTATGAACAGTAACCCTACAAAATCATAACATAACTCATCAAGAAACACATAGAACAAATGATTAATGAAAATCAACAAAATTTTAAAGATCTAATTAATCATTGTAACCACAAAATGTAAAAGAAAATAAATAAAAAACAAGTTAGTTGTGAAATACAGTAAACCCTGTGTTGGTCTTAATTAACTATCGGATTTGTAGAATAATACAATTAGCATCCGAATCAATATTTAGAAAGAAAATCTTAGGTCCCATTTGTTTTGAAGGAATGGAATGGATTTTGGAGGATTTGCATTTCAAATCCATTCCAATCCCATGTCTGGTTTGTTGGATTGTCCGGATTTGAAATTCTAGGACTTAATTGAAATCCTTTACACATGGGATTTTGAAATCCTTAGGTGGTGTTTGGTTCGCTAAATGTTTTTGGATAAAATGAAATCAATTAAAAAAATTGACTTTAAACGAATTGGAATAGAATGTTGTCAGGTTTGACCACTTGTTTGGTTGGCAGACATTGGAATGAAATTTGTTAAGGAATTGGAATTTGTTTGTTTGGTTCACATAATCTAGCTTTGAAATTGGAATGAAATATTGGTAAATGACCAAAATGCCCTTTTTTTAAAATTTTAATTTTTTTAAATCTAAAAATATACTTTAATAAGATAATTATTTAATATACAAAATAATATAAATACAAAACCTAAATATAATCATAAGCCAAATGACGTTACTAAATCAATGGTGGTCGGCGGTGGTTTAGATCGGTGATGGTCCACGATGGTTCAGATCTATGGTGGTCCATAGTATTTCAAATGGCAGTGGTCAGAGTGGTTCAGATCGATAGTGGTCCACGATAGTTCAAACGGTGGTTCAGATGGAAAGTGGTTCAGACTGGCGGTGACAAGTCGTGGTTCAGA